AATCAGGTGAATAATTTCGGAAATTAATCAATGCAGAACTTGGAGTTAAATCTCCGGGACATGACTTTTTAGGGTCAGAACCGAAATTTCAATGAACATTTGAGTCGAAGACAATCAACTACTGTGGAATAACCACGTAATGCCCATTCTACAAACAAGTAGTACTACGAGTAGTATGAATTTCATATGGTAAAGGTATTATACCGTACTCCCGACCTAGATACTTGCTAAAAGCCCAGACACGTGTTTCGCCGATATTCTGCCGCTGCGTGACACAGCTGCGAGGGGTTCGGCTCTTCAGTGGGACCCCCAGCGTTCTCTAGCGGTTTCCGGTATATGAACTCCAGAGAATAATCAGGTGAATAATTTCGGAAATTAATCAGTGCAGAACTTGGAGTTAAATCTCCGGGACATGACTTTTTAGGGTCAGAACCGAAATTTCAATGAACATTTGAGTCGAAGACAATCAACTACTGTGGAATAACCACGTAATGCCCATTCTACAAACAAGTAGTACTACGAGTAGTATGAATTTCATATGGTAAAGGTATTATACCGTACTCCCGACCTAGATACTTGCTAAAAGCCCAGACACGTGTTTCGCCGATATTCTGCCGCTGCGTGACACAGCTGCGAGGGGTTCGGCTCTTCAGTGGGACCCCCAGCGTTCTCTAGCGGTTTCCGGTATATGAACTCCAGAGAATAATCAGGTGAATAATTTCGGAAATTAATCAATGCAGAACTTGGAGTTAAATCTCCGGGACATGACTTTTTAGGGTCAGAACCGAAATTTCAATGAACATTTGAGTCGAAGACAATCAACTACTGTGGAATAACCACGTAATGCCCATTCTACAAACAAGTAGTACTACGAGTAGTATGAATTTCATATGGTAAAGGTATTATACCGTACTGCCGACCTAGATACTTGCTAAAAGCCCAGACACGTGTTTCGCCGATATTCTGCCGCTGCGTGACACAGCTGCGAGGGGTTCGGCTCTTCAGTGTAGAATGGGCATTACGTGGTTATTCCACAGTAGTTGATTGTCTTCGACTCAAATGTTCATTGAAATTTCGGTTCTGACCCTAAATAGTCATGTCCCGGAGATTTAACTCCAAGTTCTGCATTGATTAATTTCCGAAATTATTCACCTGATTATTCTCTGGATTTCATATACCGGAAACCGCTAGAGAACGCTGGGGGTCCCCACTGAAGAGCCGAACCCCTCGCAGCTGTGTCACGCAGCGGCAGAATATCGGCAAAACACGTGTCTGGGCTTTTAGCAAGTATCTAGGTCGGCAGTACGGTATAATACCTTTACCATATTAAATATAGATATATATATATATTCTCTGTCCGAGTGGTCATAACATGGAACGCCCTCCCTGCAAGTTTTGTGATGTCACCATCGCTATAAAGTTTTAAAATGAACCCTGGCATATTTATGTTCGAAAAGACTAAGAGCTGATGGATGATCCCGCTCACCCCCTGAAACTCATTCCCTTTTTTCAGGTCCTTATGGACTCCTTTGAATTATTTGAGTCCAGATAATTCCTCTATACACCGCACCCATTTTTACGTTGCAAATAGAGTGCTCAAAGGCTGACATCTGCTCCCCTCAATAAACTAGACTGAACACCAACGCGGCGGCATAAAATTCCAATGACTTAACTGCCTAGGAATAAGGAGCACACATAGTTCATTCGTTGTTTCGAGGATGTCTACCATGTGCTCCACAGGGCAATTCAGTATATGTATAAGGGAGATAGGCAGAGCCTTGGAAAATCCTGTTTACAGATGTACGGATGAAAGACATGCATATATTTACATGATAGTTAAGTCAGTCATTAATATCAAGTAAATATTCGGCCACCAAGCATACGTTTATCAAATGTTTTTGAGGGTCTCAACGTTTTCTATCAAGACAACGGTGTTCAGCAATACCTCCTTTAAGAAGGAGAGGCGATCGCTGTAACAAGGAGTTTATTCGCCTGACGTTTCGGATTCTCATTTGAGCCCATCACCAGAGCCAGTGGCAGAAACGTTTCTGTCACTGTCTCTGATGAGGGGTTCAAGTGAGAATTTGAAACGCCAGCTGAATAGAGCCCTTGTCCCGGCGATCGCTTCTTCTTCTTCCTATCAACTAGTTCCTGGAACTCGCATCTTCGCTCATATCGGCAATGTCTTCCATCCTTCAACCAGCCGACGGGAGAAGAACTTGGCCCGCACTCCAAGTGTGGCATACATTATCCTGAATTTGTTTTGGTGGCCTCGAAAATTGGTGGTTTGTGCCAGTTCGAAGAAATCATCAAATTGAAGGAGCTCAGCCTAGCCCAATGAGGAT